TGGCCCCGCATTGTGTGTGAGTCGTTCGGGCTCCTCGTGGTGTGAGTCGTTCGGGCCCCTCGTCCTGGTGTGCGTCGTTCGGGCCCCTCCTGGTGTGAGAGTCGTTCGGGCTCCCTCGTGGTGTGAGTCGTTCGGGCCCCTCGTCCTGGTGTGAGTCGTTCGGGTGCTTCCTTGCGTGTCAGTCTTTCGGGCTCCTCGTGGTGTGAGTCGTTCGGGCCGCTCGTCCTGGTGTGAATCGCTCGGGCCCCTCCTTGTGTGTGAGTCGTTGGGCTCCTCGTGGTGCGAGTCGTTGGGGCCCCTCGTCCTTCCCTGTATGAGTCCTTCGGGCCCTTCATTGTGTGTGACTCGTTCGGGCTACTCGTGGTGTGAGTCGTTCGGGCCCCTCGTCCCGGTGTGCGTCGTTCGGGCCCCTCCTTGTGTGAGAGTCGTTCGGGCTCCTCGTAGTGTGCGTCGTTCGGGCCCCTCGTCCTGGTGTGAGTCCTTTGGGTGCTTCCTTGCGTGTGAGTCGTTCGGGGTCCTCGTGGTGTGAGACGTTCGGGCCGCTCGTCCTGGTATGAGTCGTTCGGGCGCCTCCTTGTGGTGTGAGTCGTTCGAGCTCTTCGTGGTGTGAGTTGCTCGGAGCTCTCGTCCTGGTGTGAGTCGTTCGGGTTCCTCGTGGGGCCTCTTGGGGGCCTCTTGGAGCCTCTTGGGGCCTGTTGGGGGCCTCTTGGCGGCCTCTTGGGGGCCTCTTGGCGGCCTCTGGGGGCCTCTTGGGGCCTCTTGGGGGCCTCTGTGGAGCCTCTGGGGGCCTGTTGGGGGCCTCAGGGGAGCCTCTTGGGGGCCTCCTGGGGGCCTCTTGGAGCCTCTTGGGGCCTCTTGGGGGCCTCTTGGGGGCCTCTGGGGAGCCTCCTGGGGGCTTCTTGGAGCCATCTGGGGACCTGTTGCGACCTTCTCAGAAGCGCAAATGAGCGCTGCCCCCTGAAAGAAACAAAATGACGCCAAAACCGTCGTAAAATCAATGATTTTGCTGTGAAGAAAGAGGATCGCTGGCCCCTCAGAAGGCCAAAATGGGGCCGAAACCGTCGTACAGTCAATGTTTTTGATTTCAAAGACGAGGAGGGGGGCCAAACGGTGCCCCCCCCGTCGGGGCCAGAATCCTCGTGAGGGTCGTCGTTTTTTAGCCCTCCCAGGAGTCGAAAAAGACCCCTCCAACGACCCGCGGGGCCCCCTCTCCAGGCCCAGGGGGAGGGGGTAGGGGGAGGGGTAAACCCCTCCCCGAAGGGGAAGAAGGGGGGTTGGGGGGTTGAAAACAGAGAGAGCTCCCTAAACCACTCACGCCCAAAGGGCTGGTGGGACTTTTGTGTCTGTGCTGTGCAGAAAGAGAGAGAGAGAGAGAGAGAGAGAGAGAGAGAGAATCTGTGATGTGCGAGTGAGTATGCTGATGATGATGATGATGGTGATGATGATGCTGCTGATGATGATGATGATGATGATGATGATGATGATGATGATGATGATGATGATGATGGTGATGATGATGATGATGATGATGATGATGATGATGATGATGATGATGATGATGATGATGATGCTGATGATGATGATGATGATCTGATGATTGATGATGAATGATGCTGATGATGATGATGATGATGCTGCTGATGCTGATGATGATGATGATGATGATTGATGATGGATGATGGATGATGGTGATGGTGATGATGATGATATGATGATGATGATGATGATGATGATGATGATGATGATGATGATGATGATGATGATGATGATGATGATGATGATGATGACGATGATGATGATGATGATGATGAATGATGATGATGATGATGATGCTGATGATGATGATGATGATGAATGATAATGATGATGATGATGATGATGACGATGAGATGATGATGATGATGATGATGATGATGATGATGATGATGATGATGATGATGATGATGATGATGATGATGATGATGATGATGATGATGATGATGATGATGATGATGATGATGATGATGATGATGATGATGATGATGATGATGATGATGATGATGATGATGATGATGATGATGATGATGCTGATGCTGATGATGATGATGATGATGATGATGATGATGATGATGATGGCGGTGGTGCTGATGCTGATGATGATGATGATGATGATGATGGTTGATGGCCGATGGTGGTGGTGAGCGATGGTGAGTGATTGAGTATGATGATGATGGCGGTGGTGATGATGATGACCGATGGTGATGATGACCGATGACGGGGTGACTCCCTGAGTGAGGCGGAGAGTGGGAGGGAGGTGCTCCTGCGCGGAGGGTGTCCAGAGAAGACAAGAACCGCACTTTGGATGTGGGGAAACAGTACGGAGGCGATGTCTCTACTACTTTTGGGGGAGATGCCCGAGCTCACCTTCTAGACGACTACCCGTTACAGAAGCACAGGCTTTTGACGGCCGCCGCAGCGGTGCCCGCGCCGCCATCGAGAGGCGCCCTGCTGGCGCTCTCTTTCTCGGGCCCTGCCGTGGGGCCGCCCCCTCGACCCAGGCTCTTGGCACCGCTCGGACATGTGCATGTTTCCTTCGGCGAGGACCATCGGGGAGCATCCTTGATCACTTGG